GATATATGTGAATCTTTATTTCAAATAATTATTTACATGTGCATTCATTTGCCAGTTTTTTATGTAGGGGCAATGCCTTTTCTTTGAGTCCAATCCACTATGTAGAGTTCCATGTTGCCTTTCTTGCTGAACCTATACATCCTTAATTTCCAGTATTGGTTACAGTTACTTTAAATTAGAATAAGAACTTAAATATACTTCTTAAGCAATCTGAGTGCAGACTATTGTGATCTTTATGATTGTTTTGCAATGAGAGAAATTTTTTTAACTTATTCACTTTTACCAAGTCTTTCTATCTTTTCACACTATATTTTATCAGTTTATGTAATATTTCATTAAATTATACTGACAAATACAATTGGCAAAAGTAGTCTTGAAAAAAAAACACAACTAGTTGTAAATATTCAGTGTGCTATGGGCACTATTCAGTGAGTTTTACAGAGGGGTGGGAAGGGTCATTTAATCTCGTAAATCAGGTTCTACTCTACATGGATTTGTAGAATCAAAATTTGATAACTCAGTTGGACCTTAATTTTATTGTGAATTACTATATTTATCTCTATGGCAGCTTCCCTTCCCTTCCCTTTTCCCTTTCCTTCTCCCTTCCCTTCTCCCTCCCCTTCTTTTCCTTCCTTCCCTTCTTTTATGATGAAATCTCACTATGTTACCCAGGCTGGACTCAAACTCCTGGGTTCAAGTGATCCTCCTGCCTCGGCCTCGCTAGTAGCTATTACTACAGGCCTGCCAACGCTCGGCTAATTTTTTCTATTTTTAGTAGAGATGGGGTCTCACTGTTACTCAGGTTGGTCTGGAACTCCTGACCTCAAGTGATCCTCTTGCCTCAGCCTCCCAGAGTGCTGGGATTACAGGCGTAAGCCACCACGCCCAACCAGTAAATATTTCTTGATTGATTAACTAAAGCACCTTTTTTTCTGAAAATATGGCTAACAGGATTAATGATCTAAAAAAGCATAAGATGAACACAGAGAAAAAAAATTATTCAAGATTCATTGTTGTGAGGCTCAAGCAACATTTATTTTTGAGGAAGTAAAGGTAAATGTTAAATGAAGTAACTATACTGTCCCAGATATATGAATATATATAAAAAATTATTTTTTAAACTAAGATAAGCACTATTAAAGTTTGTAGTATACCAGCTTTCGTTCCCTGAAGTCTGATCTTTGGGCTTCTTGGTAAACAAGCACTTTAAATTGTAGGCTGTTCCCGAAGTTTGCAAACCTTTAATAATTAAAGACAAGGCAAGTCAACTGTAATAAGTTGTATGCATGCAAGATATGATTCTTCTTTTTCATAACTAATAATGTGGTTTTTGGCTTTGTGCTGGAAAAGTAACCACTTCGTTTGAAATTTATTGAAGAGAAAAAGTAGGAGACGTGATGTTCAGAAAATCATGTTTAAAAACAACAATTAGTATGGCATCTAGATCTTAGCAGGAAACACAGAATTAAGACTGAGCCTGACCTTAACCTATGACCAATGGAATCTAAGTGTATTTATTTTTACAGTAGCCTTAATTTGGGACTTGCAAGTTTTTTGGTTTGTTTTCACATTCAATTTAGAGACCCTGAAACGGTATTTTAATTATAGGAATTAAGCTATTTATAATTTTCATGGCATGAAGATCAGCAGACTGTGTTTTTTCTTGGTTATAATGTTATCTTACTCTCAGAATTGTGTGATCTTTGTGTTCTAACAATGCACTTAAAAAAACAAAACAGAAATAAAACAAAACAACTCCCGTGCTACAATGCTGGAATTCTAACAGAACTTTATTCATCTTCCTTCCCCTCCCTGATTTTTAAAAACATGTTCTCATGGAAATGTTTCCTTAAATTACACAGAGCACAAGCAGTTACTGGAAATGTTTTCTACACAGTTCTGTTCGTATATATCAATTTCAATTTGTTTGTACATTTTAGATTTTTTCTTAGCTTTGCTGATAACTGCATTTCTTAATCACGTTAACTTTCAACTAAGTTGTGTCAAATTTTTATCACTCTCAGCTATATCAAATCATACTTTTTGTTGGGTCCTTTCATATCGCAAGTTTGTTGAATGATGAAACAATGAACGTAGGAACAAGAAAAGAAAGCAAAATGGGTTCAACTTAGGTTCAGTTTTATCTCCAGTTTAAATGGAAATGCTAATGTGCCTCTTTTTTTTCTTTTTTCTGTGACAATTCCTATGTTTTTTCTAGGAAGAAAAGGAGTTATTGAAAATAGTAATTAATTCCAAAGTCATGAGTCATTTATAATCAGTTTTAGAATACCTACAGATATATATACATTTTTCAAAACATTTATACTTCCCCTTTTCTGAAGCCAGACTCCTGGGCTCATTCTTACTTTTAGTAATAGTGTGGCTTAAAACCAGAAACTTCAGGTATCCTGGGTAATTTACAGATCATCAAAAGTTGGCTGTATTATATTTAGGAGTATACAGTTGTGCTAGACACACATTTATAATTTTAGCTCTTCTACTGAACTGTATGTGCTTTTTAAGGGCCAGAATGGTACATCTTCTTTTGTATGTACCTGTTGCTTACAAATAAATGTCTAATTCTGTGGCCACTTCAGAGGTAGAAGAGGATGCTAAGCAGGCAAGGCTCTAGGCCCTGGCCCTGCTTCAATTAGCATCTCTCTTTTATATATGAATAGTTTGGGATAAGAATTTTGTTGAGAAAAAAAAGTTCTCCTTAAAAAAAAAAAGTTTGAAAATGACTGTTTAGTGCATAGATAACTTCAGTATTTTTTGACATTATCTAATCTAGCCCCTGTCATTTTACAGGACTTGAAACTGAGACCCAGAAAGATTATGTAGTCTTTTCCAGATCTTGCAGCTATTTAGTCACAGAACTAAAACCTCTTGTTTTAAACCTCCTTGATCAATGTTCTTTATACTGTAGCATATATGTTATCAGAACCCAGGAGTTTTCCAAGATGAGTGCACAGTGCCTGGTATTGGTAGACAGTAAATGTGTATTACATTAATGAATGCATGCATGATTCTAAGATGATTTGTAGTTAATTACATCTGAGACAAGTTCAGGTAAAAATTGTCATTTGTCATGATCCTAGTGAAGTGTTCCTCTCAGAAACCCTGAATTTGGCCTGTTCAGAACTAACCAGTTGTTATGTATAACAGATTGTTCTTTGTCAATTTTAGGATCACCTGCTGTTACCAGCTACCACCCATAACAAGACCACAAGACCAAAAATGTCAATTGTATTACCAGCAATAAACATAAATGGTAAGTTGAAATTTTGGTTTATGAACACGAGATTCCTTTGTTTAACCAAGATTCTCTAAATTAGTTAAAAGACATTTAAAATGTTCAGTTGGGCAAGTATATATCCATGCATTATTTCTGAAACATTTTCCCACTGTTTTCACAAAAATATTATTTTTAAATTCCATATTCTTTTTTAAAAATTGCTATTAAATATATTTTTAAAAGAAAAAATAGATCTCTTTTATTTGCAAAATTGGAAAAGCTAGCATCTTGACTGCTCTACAGACTTCCTGTCTGGGGCCTTTGTAGTCATAAATGTAGTATAAGAAATCCTTGCTGTGTTCTAACAGTGAATTTGTAAATTAGAGTTTTGGAACTTAAAGCAGTTTCCTTTGTTACCTAAATGTTAATATGATCCTAGACCAAGCCACAGAAACCTAATTATGTTTAATCCATAATATTGATGATTTTGATATTGATAGTATTACTGTTGCATTTTGTTCTACTACTAATACTGGGTATTGAACAAAATATAAATAATACTATAATCAAAAGATGTTAAAGCATAGTATACTTGCTTATAGTCTAGAGGGAAAAATAAAACAAGCACAAAAGTAACTGTACTCCAAAGAGAGAGTCCCATGAGTAATAAACAAAGTACTAAAGAAATTTAGTGAAGGAGAGATTACTTTCAGCTGGGTTCTTCATGGAGAAGAGAAAGAACTCCCAATACGAGCTGTGTATTATAAATGAGCACAATGTATATTATTGACTAATTGCTTTCTTTGGCCCATCATATTAGGCTTACTGAAAATAGGAGAGTAGGCCATCTTTCCCATGTCCATCTATCTGGCATAATGGAACTACCAGTAAATTTTCTGTCTAGTGTTAAAAATCTCATAGTATATAAGGAAGATAAAAATGAAAAGCCCTTTAAATTAACCTGCAGCAGAACCAGTCCACATTCTTTCTGATTGATAATAATAATTAAGTCATCAAATACAGTTACAAAACAAACAGTGCATTTTTAGGGGGATTATAGATAAATCCCAATAAAATTTAGTCTTTAGGGAACAAATATTATTCATCGTACATTTTAAGACCGTAGAAGACTATAGAATTTCATGAGCTGTATACAGACAGCTTATTAGAAATGCTCAGGAAGCAACTTTAGAGACATATAACATAAATGGCTTTTTTTGTTAACGCATAAGCAAATTATAATATTTATTTAGTCTTACAAATGTTCAGAACAAATTTAAGAAAAACTGTAACATTGAGAAGAGCATCTATTTCTTCAGTAAAGGCATAACTCTAAAGTTATTCATGGAATAATCATACTACTACCAGAATAAGGACATTATATTTCAAAGTATATTTTATTATACTTCAAAAAATATATTTAGGAAATATCATTTATTCTCATCTTATAGGTACCTACATTCCTCTGCTTGAACTGTAATAGATTTAACTTTGGTCAGCTCATACTCAGAAAGGCTGTTTTCTAAGCTTCATCAAGGCAGAATTCACTTAATTTTGTTCTTCTGATTTTGAGTTCTTATGTAAGAGAATGCCTGGTTTTATTTTATAACAGTGAGCTATCCATTGACATTAAGCCAAAAACAATAAGATGCTGTTCAACTATGTTTATCTTGGCTAGGTGACTAATTTTTGAAGATGAGCCTTTCATGGGTTTGGAAAATATAATCATTAGATCATCATTGTATTTTCATTCTGTTTCAGATTCTTTGTAAATGGCCTTTAAATTTTTTCATTTTTAGGATACAGTAAACTATTAGAAGAATTAAGATTCAAATCAAAAATTATTGATTGACTATATGCCATATGTCAAGTACTGTGCTACATCCTAGCCTCTTCTCTGAACAATCCCTTCACTTCCTTGCTCTAACTGAGGGTGCTTCTCAAATTAGAGCCTGCTTTTTCTTCCCCACCTCATGTACCTCACAGCCTGCCTTGCTCCTCACGACAACTTCCAAATTATCTCTCTCTCTTTCTCTTTCAGTCCCCCTAACATCTTTCAAGTATATCACATCAGACTTTACTCCTCTTACCCTTCTTTGTTACTGTCATCTGCCCCACCTTCACCAGTGACCCTCCACCACTGCTTCTGTTATCGCTCTGCATACCTTCAACATCCACACAGAGGATTCATCCAGCACCCTGCCTTTTCTGATCCAGTCACTTCAGCCTCCCATCCACATCATGTGGTCATAATCTCCCCTTACCATCGTGAGTAATGCACTCCCTTTGAAATCTCCTTTTCACACTTCCTACTCTGTTACTTACTCTCTTTAATATTCACACTCCAACTACTCTCTTACAGATCTCCAGTCCTTTGACTCTACCACTTTTTTCTGTATCTGTCACATCCTTAATGGCCATACATTCCTCCTTACCTAGCCTGGATTCCATGGCTATATTGTCAGTTCTCTTTTGCAAACACCCCTTACTCCCTGGCTTCTCTATTCTTAGGTCCTACTTGCCTGGAAAAACCTCACCATAGTTAAACCCAACTCTCCCCTTTATGCCTTCTCTGAAACAGCTGAAACTTGCTAGAAAATATTGTCCAGTCAGGACAAGTAGATTCACTTGAAATTTATAGCCATTAATTTCAAAGGGGTATTCAATACCACCAGTCGTTGCTAGTAAATTCACTTTCCTTCTCTTCTGAAACAAGAATTCCTCACCTTGTCTTTTCAAAACTCCAACATCCCCTCTCCCCACCCCCTCAGCTGATGAACTCACCAAATGCTACATTGAGAAAATAGATGTAATCATACTAGAGCTACCTCATGTTTCCACTACCACCAGCCCAGCTGCATCTGCACCCACAAACTCTGCCTTCCCTCTTGTTGCACTGAAAGAAAAGTCTCTTCCATTGGATTCTAAATCCCAGCTTTGCCTCTTACTATTAAGAAATATGTATTCTTGGACATGTTAATTATATTTTCTGTACCTCACCTGTAAAAGATATTAGTAATACTCTCCTCTTAGGGTTGGTGTGAGAATTAAATGAGTAAAAGTGCTTTAAATAGTGCCTGGCTATTTTCTGGTTAGCTGCTTTGTTACCACAATTGTCATTTTTGTCATTTTCCTCGTTGTCATCGTCAGCTTCATTTAAGGTGATTCCTTCCTTTTCAAACCTAAATCCTAGCATCTCTCACAGTGCTCAAAGACTTTACTATCTGCATTTATACCCTTTCTCTTCTATATGATCAATTTCTTTTTCTCTATTAGATCATTCCCATCAGCACACAAAATGTCTTAATGCTACCTTTGGTATAGGGAGGCTACCTTGACTCCACATCATATTTCTCTGCTGCCCTTCATAGCAAAATTCTTGGAAGAGTTACTTGTACTCACTGCCTCAACTTTCTTACCTCTCATTCTCTCCTTTGTCCACTCTTACCAAGCTTTTGCCCTTCACTAAACCGAAATGCTCTTGCAAAAGGGTCACCAATTACCAATATCTTGCCAGAGTCAAAAGTCATGTCTCCATTCTCATCTTACCTGACCTCTCAACAGTTTTTGACACAGCTAATTATTCCCTCTTTTTTTAGTTCCCTAATTCTTATTTTTAAAAATTTCAAATCTATAGAGAAGTTGAAAGATGAGTACAGTGAATATGTGGAGACCCTTTACCCACCCTTTACCTAGATTTCACCAATTGTTAATATTTTTTTTTATATTTGTTTTTATCTGTCTATTTTCACTCACATGGATTGCCTTTTTCTTTTTTAACCGTTTGAGAGTAAACTGCAGACATCCTGACACTTTATTTGAAAATACATCTCCTATGAAAAGGACATTCTCTTAAATAACCACAATAAAATGGTCATACTAAACAAAAAGGTTTAACATTGATACAATACAGTTTAATGTTCATATTAAACTACATATTCAAATTTCCTGATTTGCCCCCAAACTAGTGGTGTCATCATACCTCACTGCAACCTCAAACTCCTGGGCTCAAACCATTCTCGTGCCTCAGCCTCCTGAGTAGCTGGGACTACAGGCATGCACCACCATGCCTGGCTCATTTTTTCTATTTTTGGTGGAGATGGGTCTTGTTCTTGCTTAGGCTGGTCTCGAACTCCTGACCTGAGGTGTCCAAAATATTCTTTATAGCTTTTTTTTTGGATTCAGGATCCAAAGATCATACATTATTACATCCACGTGTCACGCTTCTTGAGTTTCCTTTAATTTAGAACAGCTCCTCTGCCCTTTTTATTGTCTTTAGTGACATTTATACTATTTAAAATTAGACTTATTGAAGTATTTATAATGTACATACAATAAAATTTACTAGTTTTATTTGTGTATTTAATGAGTTTTGACAAATGTAAACTCTTGTAAAACCACCATTTCCATCATGATAAAATGTTTTTATTGGTTCAAAAAGTTCCCCCATGCCTCTTTCCAATCAGTCCCCTCCTGTACATTTTTGACATTCTCTTTCTTGAAGTACTTTATTTATAGGCTTTCTGGTACCATGACTTGTCTAGTTTTCCTCCTATGTCTCTTCAGTCAGCTTAGCCGACTTCTCCTCTTCTGTGAGGACAGGAATCTTGTTTGCTGTGTTCGCCACCTACCACCATATTCCCTGCACCTAGGATAGCACGTGACATAGGAACATGGCAAGAAACATGAAAGAGGCACTTTCATTTCTATTAACTCATGTAATGCTCCTCTACCAGCTAAGTACAGGTTGACTGTCCTTTATCTAAAATGCTTGGGACCAGTACCGTTTGAGATCTTGGATTTTTTCAGATTTTGGAATATTTGTGTAAACATAAGGGGATATCTTGGGAATGAGACCCAAGTCTAAATATGAAATTCATCATTTATTTTTCATATATACCTTATACACATAGCCTGAGGGTAATTTTATACAACATTTTTAATAATTTTGTGCATAAAACAAATTTTGTATTCATTGAACCATCAGAAAGCAAAGATGTCAGGTGTGGAATTTTCCACTTGTGGCATCATGTTGG